AGGGAGGGAAGGTGGGAGGAAGACAAGGAGGAGGAGAGGGGAGGTGGGGTGGGGAGAGGGGAGGAGGGGAGAGGGGCGGAGGGGAGGGGGAGGATTTGCACCCGGTCGAAAGAAACCTTGCTATCGCAAGAGTAACTCTAGCTAGCTTCGCTAGCTTTCGTGATATATTCATTATGTTGCAATTAATTTAACAATATTAGCAATATAGATTCTTTTTGATAAATCTTATTTGTATTATTCTTGGTTGTTGTTATGATGATTTGTATATATTTATTATTTGATGATATAATATATTTGATTTTGAAAAAAATATTTAATATAGAATATATTTCGTTTATATTTATATATATAATTGATAATATTATTTATGTCTATTTTTTGCTATAATTTATTCTTAAAATATATATGTTATTTAATAATTGATAAATATATATATGATTTTTGGTAATTAAATATATTATTTTGATTTTGAATAAATATATATATATATAAATAAATGTTGTTATAGATTCGAAAATATTGAATAATTTTTATAGAAGAAATATATTTTTTATATTTATGAATTTATTTTGATTATTGATTTTATGAATTATTAAATAAACCAATATATATTTAAAAAAAAAATAATATTGAATATATTTGAAATAGATTTCGTTAATATTAATAAAATCAATATTCGATTATAACGTTATTATAGACGGAATTTATTAATATATTTATATTAATGTATTTTCATTCTCTAACGGTAAATTACTTTGCACGGAATTCATTTCTCGCATTATATTTATATTTGATCCTCCGATTTGAAAGATATTTATATAAATATAAATTCTAAATAATTTAAATGCGATTTATTTAGAATTAAAAATCGATTTCTTGAAGAATATATTATTTAATTTATGAATATTTATCGGCATTGATATCGTTATTTAGTAAGTATTTCTTTCTAAAAAAATCGGGGGAATTGATAAATTCGAAAAATTAAGGTAATATTTCCAAGTATATTTGATCTTTGAGCAAAAAAAAATTATTTTTGTATTGGATATTAAGGATTTTGAATTAAGAATTGCGCTTTGTCACCAATGCAGCGCACCATGATGATATTAATTTGGAATGAGTCAAAGGACATATGATTATCAGATATAAATTTTTATATATTCTTTTGTGTGCGCAGGCATTTCACCTATCCGGGGGCCCCCAATCCTCTTCCAATTTATTAAGAAAAGAAGAATCTGAGCCACCGAGGTTTTCCGTGAAATATGTTAGGGCGGCAATCGCCGAATCCTCAACCTCCTCGTCGACGGAGAAAAGTGGCTTTTATAAATAATCCCGAGGAATTATTGGGATAATTGCCGCAATTAATGAAAGATCGTAGGTTTTAAATTATTAGGGCTGTAATTACTATTAGGGAGTGAATCAATATTGGGGTCGCAAGCCATGGATTTACCCGATCCATTACAAACGATATTTCCTCTTTAAAATGATAGATATAAATAGATTTAATCGGAATCATCAATTGATAAAATAACGTCAAAATAATATTGATTATCATTTCATCATATTTAAACCTAAAAATATATAGATCTTATTCCTCAAATCATTTTTATTACTAATTTACACATAAATAGAATAAGAACAAATAAACAAATTATACCGCCGTAGACCCCAAACAAATTAAACAACAACAAAGCATTCCCAAATCCATTTTTTGTTAATTAATAAGAAAAAACCAAAACGAATACAATAATTAAAAAAATAAAGATAAAAAGGTAAACAAAAGGAAACATATTAAAAAAAAACAGACATAATAACCACCAAAAACGAAACAATACCGGAAAAAAATAGAAAACAAAAAAGAAAAAAAAACGAACGCAATAACCAACAAGAAAGATGACAAGAAAGAATATCAAAAAAACAGAAGAAAAACAAGGCGGACACCATAATCAACAAAAAAAAAAAACAAAAGGAAATACAATAACCAACGCGAAAGGAGACAAAAACAGACAAAAAAATAATAAAACGGATACAATCCAAAAAAAGAAATAAGACCAAAGAAAAAAAAGGAGCAGAAGGGAAATAAAACGGCCACAATAACCAACAAGAAAGGAAATAAGAAAGGAGACAAAAAGAATCAGAAGGGAGACAAAACGGACACATTAATCAACAAGAACGGAACCAAGAAGGAAGTTAAAAAGAAGCAGAACCGAGACAAAAGAAAAAACAAAAAAATATGGCGGGCACTTTAACCCACAAAAAAAAACAAAACCGGAAACAAAGAAAGAATGAAGGAAAACAAAGCGGACACAATAACCAACAAGAAGGGAAATAAGAAGGGAGACAAGAAGGGAGACAAAAAAAATAGAAGAAAAATATAAAAGACATCGACAGAAAGGAGACTAAACAGACACACTAACCAACAAGAAAGGAGACAAGACCGGAAACAAAGAGAGACAAGAAGGGAGATAAGGCGGACACAATGACCAACAAGAAGGGAAATAAGAAGGCATACAAAAGGAAACAGAAGGAGATAAGACGGACACAGTAACCATCAAGAAGGGAGACAAGAAGGAAGACAAAAGGAAACAGAAGAGAGACAAGACGGACACAAGGACCAACAACAACGGAAACAAGAAGGAAGAGAAAAGGAAACAGAAGGGAGACAAGACAGTCACAGAAGAGACACAAGACCGGAGATAAAAGCAAACAGAAGACAAACGAGGCGGACACAATGACCAACAAAAAGCGAAGCAACAAGGAAAAGAAAAGGAAATAGAAGGGAGACAAGGCGGACACAATGACCAACAGGAAGGAAAAGGCAGACAAGAAGGAAGACAAGGCGGACACAATGACCAACAAGAAGGGAGACAATAAAGGAGACGAGAAGGGAGACAAAACGAAACAGAAGGAAGACAAGACGGACACAATGACCATCAAAAATAAAGACAAGACCGGACACAAAGGGAGACAGAAGGTAAACAAGGCGGACACAATAACCAACAAGAAGGGAGACAAGAAGAGAAACAAAAGGAAAGAAAAAACACATATTATGACCAACAAGAAGGGAAACAAGACCGGAGATAAAAGGAGACAGAAGGGAGACAAGGAAATGCTACATAGCCAACGGAAAAGGGCCAGCAGTGCCAGAAAGGGCGGACACATCTTAAAGAAGAATTAAGAGCCCCTAACAGTAAATTGTTCGGGAATGAATAGAAATGCTACATCTCCAGCAGAAAAGAAGGGACACCAGCAATGACAGATCTAGAAGACAAAATGTAATATTACATGGCCAACGGAAAAGGGCTAGTCATTCCCAATGACAGACCTGGGAAATAAATGATCAAAAATACTATATAGCCAACGGAAAGGGGCGGACACCAACAGCGACAGACGTGCAAATTAAATACTTAGAAATATTTATTACATAGCCAGCGGCAAAAGACGATTATCAACAATAATAAACCCAAGAAATAAATAAATTAAAAAATTACGTAATCAACCAAACAAAAAAGAATATCAATAATAAATCTAAAAAATAAATAAATAGAAATGCAATATAATTTCATCAAAAAAAATAATAACCAACAATAACATAAAAAATTAAAATCCCTAACAATAATTAATTAAAAAAATACAATTTCTAAAAATAATATGTAGTTTTTTTATTATTAAATAAATTCAATAAATATTTTTGCAAATAAAAATATATTTAAAAAATAAAATATATTTACTCAACCAATAATTTCAAATTTATTTTTATAAATTTTATAAATATAATATTTAATAAATTATATCCCCAAAATTTAATATCCTATTTCCTTATATTTTAAATTCTTCCATATATTTAATTCAATTATTAAATATTATATATATATAATTATATAAATATATTTTTATATATAATAAGTAATATATGTTTTAAATATAAAATATTTTAATATAAAAAATACAAAATCATAAATTTATTTAAAATTCATTCAAATAAATATCGATTTATAATATATTTATTTAAAAAAATATTTTTAATTTAAAAAAAATAATAATATTAATAAATATATATATATATATATCATAAATTAATATATTACAAAATATTAATTAAAATATATATATTTAATTTGCCGTTTATATGAAAATATATAAATTCAAATATTTTTCAAAAATGCAAAAATATATATAAATATATTCCAAATATTTTTCTATTAAATAGATATTTAAAATATATTCCTTAATGATAAATATGATATATATTTTTTTAAAATCATTGGCAAACATATTGAAGGACAATTCCTACAGAAAAAAATATAATGTATTTGAAATGAATGGCTCTAAACGACACAAGGCCTATAAAATCGAATATTGCGGGATTGTTTTCAAGCCAACACGAAAACACTAGGATTCCGAGCTTCTTTCACCACCCCTTGCCGGAACCTCAAGCGCGCAGACATACTCAACCAGACGCGAAAAAATCGCAAAAGTTTCGGTGTTTCGATTCTGGTCTCTGAAGTGTTCCAATTCAGGACCGTACCTCCAAAGCCGCTGCCGAAAGGACCTGTCTGAAAGAACACCAAATCAAAAGAGGAATAGCTTTTTAAGAGTCAGGATGGAACAGCCATCAACTCAACAACACCGAAGGTCCCATTTTTGTTGATCCGTATCACGCCAGGGTTCACGTGGGTTTTGCTTAGATGCCAGTCAAGTTGATAGCCTGTCGGCCCTGCTGACGTAACCCCTCAGAACGGAGTGGGGCGCCAATCCTGGAGTCAAGTCTTGGCATCTGCCTCTGCGCGCTTGTACTGGCATTGCTGGAACCAGACAAACATGAACGAAATCACATCGCTGCTTCTGCGCCCAGGCGCAGACCGTTCAGCGCTGAAGCCGCTGTGCCCCGTCGGCGGGCCCACAGGTCACGACTCTTGCCCTTGCCCTTGCCCATGCCTGCGCCGTCGCACTTCGTGCGGCGGTGAGCTGGTCGCCCAAGCGCCGGTTCCACAACATCCAACTTGCCAAGCTGGAACCGAGTGGCATAATGACGTCTTGTCCAAGGCGGCACCTGGCCCTACGTCCAGGCCAGCCTTTCGGAGTTCCAATTCATAAGCGCGAAAACCAGCCGACAATTTGCGAGAATCACCAACCATGGAAGCAATGATCCCAGAGCGATTTGCGCGCAGGGACTTCACGACCGCCCAAGCAGCACTTTGCCCACTTGGAATCCTGAGAAATTTTGGAGCCTGGGCCCGCACTGCAAACCTCACAGACGAACCCTCCAATTGGGTCAAATGTAGTAGCCACCAAACTTCTGCTGGGGGCTTCTTTGTCACGAAGGGTGCCTTGCAGCTTCCACCGCGGACCTCATGGTGACATGTCCGGCGGTCTGGATTCCAGATCAAGCGCCCTTGCCCACTTGCATGTCTTCACTTGCGTCGCGCGCTGGGTTTTGGCGCTCTTCCAGGCACTCACCGACTCACCGACAAATCCACCTTTGCGCGAGCGGCCAAGTTTCACCCCAGTTCCAAGCCATGCTGCTTCAAAGCCGAACGAATACCAGCTGAAGTCTCATCCAAACACGCGAAGCTGAGCAGAGTATCAAAGCCACCTTTGTAGATCTCGTTCTGCGCGTTGGCACTGATACCGGCTTCATCCATCAAGAAAAGCACGGCTTTTCGCTCCCTTCGCCCAAACCGGCGCCTGCAATTTTTGCAAAAGCATTTTGGTTTGTCCAACCACATCGCCGTAGTCAGCCATGGATTTACGCACACCTTCACAATCAGAGTGCGGCAGAGGTAAAAAGAAATCGTGGTCGAAATTCATATCAGCATGTCTTAGGCCTATCGAAAGCCAAGAAGGCGCCATGAGAAAGGCAGATTTGCTTACAAACGCCGGCAGGTGACACCCACTTGCCTGGACCAGTTGTCCTTGTGCATTCCAAGCAGCACTCATCCACGTTGAGTCCACCACAATTGAAGCTTTCAGGCCGGACAAAACGTGTGAGCGAGCAGCTGTCCACAACTTCAGAAACTTATAGAACGCCAAGCCCGAGCATACAATGGCTGGGAAGAGTCTATGACCAGCATCTCCGACGCGCCAAGCAATTTTCAAAGGGATGAGCTTCACTAGTAAGCGCGCAACGCGCGCCATTCCCTGACTCTGTCAGCTCTGCCATTTCCGAACGCCAACGTCTAGGCTCAGTTGCCTCCAGCGTAGCGTGATTGTTCAGATCGTGTTGTTGCCAGATGCGAAATTTGCAAATCACACCTGCATCTTACCCCTGACTGTTTTCGCAGCCATGATGCAGTGTTCTGCAACCCCGGATCTAGCAAGGCGAGACGGGCAACTTTCTGCATTACACGCAGCTGCTGTAGCGCACGGTCCAGCCCAGCACAGCGCTTGATGGGCCAAGCGACCCTACAACGAGCACGTATTTACAGTTCGGTGAAGATGTCGCACGCAGCTTCGCGTTCTTCAGAATCAGTGGGCCCAAACAATTTACCAATTAGCTTGCCCAGTTCCGTGCGATTGTCAATCAAGAACGCAAGGACCTCGTCTCCAGGCTGTGCACCGCCAGCTTCTCCTAGCTTTGCCCGATATTTACGCGGCAATCTTTTCCACAGCTGCCTCTCGCTGCCATCAGCCAAATGACCTGTCTCCCATAACAAAAGAAGGAAAAACAAGAGCAACCAGCAAGCAATCCACTTGCCAAGTCCCAACCAAACCGCGCACGGACCCACCAAAACACTAGCTGTGGCTAACGGATCACTCTTAGTGACCAGTAGGTCAGTCTGCATCTTGGGGCGGGGAAGATCCAAATCGGTGTGCTAGGCTTGGGTCCCACCCGCCTCCAGGCGGTCGAGGCGCCTGATCGGAAAGAAAAAGCTCAGCCTTGTCAGTGGTTGCATGAAACTTTCCAACATCGTCGATCAAGGGTGCGCATGCAGGTACAGAAAACACGGGCTATTCCCAAGCGTCGCCGACCTGAACCAGTGAGAAGCGTCGCTTCTCTAAAGCGAGAAAAGCGTTGAAAAGCCTTGTCCACATGGTGCTGGTGAGCTGGACACTCCAGCTACGAGTAGGACAGTTTCCACGCAACACACATGATCGAACAGTCCCATGTTCCCAGCGATCGTCACCACGCTGCCGCGACGAACGCCTTGCTCCGTTCGCGCCTGTCCGCCGAAGGGGTTCCCGGCGACTCCGCCTGACCGTGAGCTGAATGGCTTCCACTTCTCAAGCGTCAAGCTGGTCTAAGGTTGGGTATATACCAAGAGCTTGACTTAAATGGTTCGATAGCGCCTCCCTTCCCGAAGCCTCCAGCGGCTGGACCTGAAAAAAGACACTGAGGTGCGGTCGAGTTCAGTCGAGTTCGGTCAACGAGGCGAGTGTAAGAAGGACAGCTCGTTTTGCTACCTGCTACATCATCTCCGCACTCCGGACCTCCTAAAACAAGAGGAGTAGCGGAGTAGCCCAATAAATCAGAACGGAAAAAGTAAACCCAACAAAATGTCACTCAGAACTCCACCAAACACCCGCTTAACATGGCTTGATGGTCGATGGTTTTCATGGTTTCATGAGTGACATCGATCGCCTCCCCAGCTCGCTCCACTGGGTGCACTCGATCCACCCCAGGCTCCACCGGCTCCACCGGCTCCACCGGGCGGTGGCCCAGGCGCCGGCGCCTTAGGACATCGGGCGACGCGTGGCGACGCGTGGCGATGTGGTTCGGTCTGGCGAGACGAGTCAGCTGAGACCACCCGCTCCCCATGAGGAGGGCCCACTGGAGCCACCTCCTGGGGAAGAAGACCAACGCTTTAGAGGTCGTCACAGTAAGACAGTCCCAACTGTCCTCTTTTGGAATTCTTCCACCGTTTTGATCGCAAGCCCTTCCAACCTATGGTGTTGCTAAGACCATGTCTGTCCTGGTCCGAAGCCTTTGCCCTTGCCTGGCTGCAAGAATAAGACTGTCGCAACCAAAATGATTTTTTAAGAAAATACAAAATAACTTCCTTCGATTGCCATCTCTAAATCAAATGCATTAGCAAGCTAATCTGTCCGATGAAACAGGAGTCGCTCTCAAAGTCAAAAAAGTCTTTCACCTCCCCCATCGGACCTCCAAAGCCGCTGTCGAAGGGGCTGGAGTTTCCTCCTGATGTGACAATTAGAAAAGCGCAGTTGGCCAAGACTGCCTGTGCCAAGCTCGGCCCAACTCGGCCAAGCTCTCTGAGTGGGCCTGTTGAAGCAATTCCGCTGCCGAAAATTAAGGGTGACCACTTAGGTCCTTCTTCCAGATTTTTCAGTACCCCCCTGGAACCCTTAGCTACTAGGAACAAGTGCCACGCTAGTAGAAACAGGTGCCTTACTAGTAGTAACAAGAAGCTTCCTTCAGAAGGAACGACGCTCCCGGTTCGCTCCCGACGCTGCCTCCGACGCTGTTCCCGCCCGTTCCGACCCGCAACGGCTCGGCCTGGAGCGCTCCCAAACGGCCGAGGTGCCTCGGCGCCGAAGACCATCGACCCAACGGCCGTGGTGTGTGCCTTTACGACTCGCTGGCTTAAGGAGTCGTAACCGTCATGACTCTTTTCGTGCTCTAAAATACCACGCCTGGCTTCCAAAGCCACCGCCTCCACCGAAAGGGTTCCCTCCGCCTGCAAAGGCAGAGTCGAAAAATGTCATTTGTGATGGACCACAAACACATCCAAACACACCATATGTCAGACAGGACAAGGGCTTGACAGAGCAAGAAAAAAGGAGATGCGGAAAAAACAGAGAAGAGAGAAGAAAAAACGACAAGTTGGTGAATGTCTCTTGAACTGCTGTTGTGGCCTCCACCAGTTGGGGTCGATCCAGCTGCCTTGGAAGGAGAAAAGGAGGAGCCCGTCTATACCCACTCCAGAAAATATCATGTCATTGGAGCTTCTCCAGGTTTCTTATCAGTTCTTCCGTGCTTCGTTGAGATCAATTCATCATCCCATGAGAGGAAGGCCGTTTTCTTTGAATCTGGGGCCCAGACGGAGCCGTATGCCGAACTGACAAATGGATCAAGAACAAAGCATGATAACCAAAAAATCATCATTGCCACGACGGAAGCCGTGTCACAGAAGACGCACTCAGACTTCGGCACCGACGCAATTCATGAAAGCTGTGGTTCGCCGTGGGCGTTCGCCACGCGGCGTTCGCGTGTGTTCACCCCACGTTTGGGCGGTCGCACCTGGATCCCCACGCATTCGGGGCTGAGGCCTGACCGCAGCAGAGTGCTCAGCACAACACGCAGATCCTTCACCCGAAAAAAAAAACAGTTGTTTGCTATATTGCAAGTTGCATGACGTGTGATCTGTTTCTTCGGTCACACCCGGGTCACGCGCCTGGGATCCGAAGGGGTCACCTTTGGACCCGGGTCCTGCCGTTTTTTTCGGTTTTTGCGATTAAAAAATTGCTACAAAATGAATAATGGTTCAATAAGAATGAATATGTAAGTAAATGGATTTGATATAAATGATTGAATAAGAATGGACATGTAAGAAATGGTGGGAGACAGTGAACTTTGAACTCGGCGTCCTCCCTTGCCAAAGGCGCCCAAGGGGGCACCGGCATTCTGTCCGCCTGCCGGTAGAAAGGGTGAAGAAAACATGCGTCGACCAAGGCACGACGTCGACTGGTGTCTTCCAAGTTGGTTTGGAACAGTTCCGAGCAGTTTGGAACAGAGGAAACATGAGGAAACTGCTTTCACATGCTGTCACATGGTTCCACACCGACTGCTTTTCCCGAAAGCATTGCGAAGGGTTCTTCCGGAAAATCCATTGAACACTGACACTTCGACACTTACACTTACACACTGACACTTCCACTACAGTCGCACTACATACACTGGCACTTCGACATTGACACTTACACATACACACTGACACGCGGCAAGCATGCAATGAGTAGGCAAGTGTGAGTATGGAAAACTAGCACGGGAGATGTCCTAATGAAAAAACATTTCCCCACTTTATAAATTCTCTCTTAAAGGCGGAGGGCGGGACGAACAGCGTCAACCGAAAGTGCAACCCTCTGCGGAGATCGTGCGTGTCGAGTGCGCGAAATGCAGGCGAGAGTGCGA